AAAAAAATATAAAATTTCAATTTTTATTGTATGATTTGTTAACTTTACCTTATTATCGAATCAGTATACGCTTTTTTTTTTTTTTTTTAACAAAATTAACTTTATTCAATTATTTTTTATTGATAAAAAAATGATTTGCTTATAACACTGATCTTACTATCGTGGAGCTTTCAAATATACGTAAGTAAAACGTATGATGTAGAGAATAAAGCGTCTTAGATTGAAATAATTGTAATCAGAGCTTACTTCATTGTTCTCCCGCGGTAAAATTATAAACACTTGTTTAAGGTTAACAATGCCGTAGATAGAAATAAAAGTACCAAGTGCAAAAAATAATTTTGTATTACTCATGTGGGAAAAGTAGTATCTTGTCGCTCGCTGTTGCGGTTGAAAAAGAACTGTTTGCCCATTTTTAAATTACGCATGAGTTTTTTCATAAATGAAACTGTTGTTTGAGTGCGACAAGTTTACTTGTCGCACGCAAATTATTCTTAGGGCCAGTTTTTCAACCCCGGGTTTAAGTATTTTATCATTGTGAATATATCTATATTTAATAGATATATAGATATATTCACAATGATAAAATACTTAAACCCGGGGTTAAAAAACTGGCCCTTAGTGCACTCAAACTATCCTTGTCGCACGCAAGTGACGGTGAAAACTGCTAAAATTAAAATAAATAACAAAAAAAAATCACAATCTAACTACCAATATTGAAGAAGTGACGTTGACATTACAACGTTCATATTTTTAACGAAAGTGAAAATAATTAACTTAAATTGAGCTGTTTAATTGTGATGAAAATTAATTTACCAGAAATTTGATATTTTTAATAATTTTTGTAACAAATAAATTATGACAAGAAAAAAATTTTTTTTAAATTGACATGTAGGGATTTTATAAAATAAAAAATGCAGTTTTTTATGAATAATTTTTCGGAACAAATTTGTTTGTTAAAGAAAATTAAAAAATTGCAGTGACAACTATATTTAATGTGATTTAATTTTATGTGTCGATTGTTTCAATGTGTAAATTTATTTTTTGTTAATTAATATCAATTACTTTGCTATATTTATTATCTGATATACAGTGCGCGTCATTGATTCGTACCGGTTGAAAAATTTTAAGGTAAAATATAAAAATCAAAATTTCGACATCTGTAAATAAAGAAATCAATAAAAGGAAAATCTTTATAAGGATCAATTTGAACAAAATTGAAAAAATAATTTACTAAAAATAAATAACTCAAAATATCAATCACGATTAAAATAGAAATTAAAAATATTAGTAATTAAAATAATCACACACTTTATAAAATAAATAAAAGTAAAATTTTAATATTAAAAAAAAAGACAACGATATAATTAGATAATTTAAAAATTTATCAATTATAAATATAGACATTGGATAAAATATAATAGACTAAATTCAGAGAAGTCAGTAAAAAGACATTTGAATATTTATATTAATAAAAATATTGATAGTTATTAATATATAAATTCTTAAAAAATAGACATCTATAAATATGGACTAGATATATTAATAACTATCAATATTTTTATAAATATAAATATTCAAATGTCTTTTTACTGACTTCTCTGAATTTAGTCTATTATATTTTATCCAATGCCTATATTTATAATTGATAAATTTAAAAATTATCGAATTATATCGTTGTCTTTTTTTTTTAATATTAAAATTTTACTTTTATTTATTTTATAAAGTGTGTGATTATTTTAATTACTAATATTTTTAATTTCTATTTTAATCGTGATTGATATTTTGAGTTATTTATTTTCA